CTGGGGTGTGAAAGTAAGGAGTTCAATGACGGGCTATCAAAATCTTCGTGATAAAATTTTAGAAAGGTAAAGCTATCCCTGTAACAGGCCATGGAGATCCAGAGAATTGTGAGACGTCTAGTCTGCCACATTATTTTTCTAAACAGTCGGCTCACAAGTGGCGGTGAGGTTGTTACCCTTTACCCACCAGGAAGATTACTGGTACTCATTTATATTAGGGACTGAGTGACCCCAGGGCCATGAATGAATGTATAAGGGGTGGGCCTTCTTGGCCCTTTCACCGCGACCACAGTGATCTATTGTGTCTCCGTTTTCTGATTACCCCTCAACAATCCCGCTCTTCGAATGAAGCGTAGGATTTTGTACGTGGGGACGTCGAAATAGTCACCTGGTTCCATAAAGTATTGACCTATGATCATTTTCCACAGACGGTAGGACTCCGTGGACGAGTGATCAGCCCACCGCAAGGCCGCTACCTAAACACAGGACAGCAGAAACACAGAATAAACGCACACACACGCATGTTATGCCCCAAAATTCGAGATAGTAGAAGAAGCCACGGCCCAAAAATGTTCGCGCCTAGCGAACAGTGTTGCACAGTTATTGCCGCAACTTGTAAACATCAGTAATGGCAAGTAGGCTAGGAATCTGCTTGCCCAGCAAGGCTGTGTCCTCACAGCGCCAGAAGTTTGCCTAACTCGGGCACTGGAGAATCGGAAGAGATTGCTTACGCAGCGATCAGACGCCAGGGGGTCTGCCCACATCCCGATAAGACCCAATGAAAGCCTAACTTTAGGAAATTAGAACACAAGGGAGGAGCTATCTACCCCCTTGTCGTCCACGCGGAATCAGCGAATTAAGACTATAAATGAGGGAAATTCAAGAGACTTGGAATTCGGATTTTAAACAGAATAGAGAGTTGTCAGCCGAAGGCGCTCTTCGACATGGGTCAGACCAGCGGAGGCAGTGTGCCGACATCTTGTACTTCAGGTGGGTCTGTTCACGTATATTAGCCATGCCGATTGATAATCTGTTGTTTGATAGTAATGGAGATAACTGTGTGGTTGAGTTATTTTTAATGTGTAAACTCCAGTGTACCCAGTGAGCCCCGAGGGTAGGATAATAGATTAATGTAAAGGCCTAGGACATTAGGCAGGCCATCTGTGAATTATAATATATATATATCAAGGTTAGGGTTAGTGTGTTATAGTAAAGATAGTATATGGGAATTGAGATATCAACAAGGGTAGTTTATGTAGAAGAGACCGTACGATAGATAGGTAATCATATATCCTGTGTAATCAGAAATGTACAGGGAAATTATGTGTTCTCGAGGGGGACTTGCATGTCCTCGTTAGTAAGTCAGATAGAGAGAGAGAGAGAGCGAGGCTCGAAGCCTCCACCCCTGAAGGGGTAGAACTTGAAAAAAGAGAATATGTAGTCACGACGGAAGGACCGTCTTTGTAACCTGTAAATAATGTAAATTGTGTATATATATATTAATGTAAATAGACAGCTAGGATAGGATAGGATGTACCGGGAGTGTAATTCATATATATATTCCACCTCCCACACCCGATCCCGAGTAATCCTGACGAGCGAGGGCAGAACTGACACAGGCCGCAGTGGCAGCCGAAGATGAAGATAAGAATAGGCAGGGATAGGCTCCTGCCACACAGGCAGAGTACGGTAGCCTTGATAGTAACGCCCTCCCAAGATCCGAAGATAAAGTGTAATATTAATGGATTACGTGGCTACCTGTAAACCATATGCGGAGTGGTCAAGAAGGAGCTAAGACTATATGTCAGGGAGTAGTACCAACAATTGAAAGAACAGAACATAGATGGTGGCAGCCTGTATGACAGAAGGAAACTCCGATATAGGAGAATCCTAGCTAAGGGTAAGCTAGGATGGTTGCGTTAACGCCTTACAGCATAACCAGTGGAGGCAAGGAGGGGTACCTGCACACCCCCGACGGCGCGACGTTACCAGGAGTACCAGTTTACGACATAACTAGTGGAGGCGAGGAAGGATACCTCCACGGCCCCTACATGCGGAGTTACAGTGGTGACAGAGGCGGGCTGACTCCACGCCCCCCTGTACCACGGCATTACAGCGGCGGCAGCAGCGGGAGGGATACCTCCATTCCCCCCTGCGCCGCTAGGGCATTACAACGCACACACACACATCAAACATCCATGCCTTGAGTGGGATTCGAACTCATGATCCCGGCTACCGAGCGAGCGAAGGCAGTTCATGCCTTAGACCGCCTGGTTACCGTGGCCGGCTCTGGGATAACAACAAACACAAATCAATAAATCGGATCAATTACATAAATGCCCCACATGTAACGAAGCTTAGGGCGGCGTGGGCCATTAAAAGCTGTAATAACAAACCAAGATAAAATTATAAAAAGAAAGTGCTACGGTGAAGGCATTTTCACTTTATAAACCGCCAATAACAATTGTATTCTATTGCTTAACATTTCCTGCTATCTAATTTGTACCAGGGATTCTTTCCTTGGGGATAAAGCGGCAGGGGCGTGAAGCTAACCATTCATTGGTATCTGATGCAGGGGTCAGGAATGGTGCAGCTACACTTCCACTCCCCCCATACGTCTTTATGACGTGGTGCTTAATTAAGAACGTGGCGACGTTCCCTTTACCTTTTATTACAATATTTAACATGCGTTGCCATAAATACTCGTATATCTAACATAATTCAGACTTATTGTCAGCTGCGTGTCTTTCCGGATGTGATTGTCATGTTTCTGCCTCTTACTAGTAGCGTCCACATATTCACTAAAATAATAATAATAATAATAATAATAATAATAATAATAATAATAATAATAATAAGCTGAACACAGTGGCACCGCTGTCAATGGGGTTACTTTATTCGACGGTTTGATTACTGGGATCGTCAGTTCGAGTCCCAATCGGATCATGCGCATGTTTGTCTGTGTTTCTTCTGCGCTGCATTCTGAGTAGGCAGAAGCCTTGTGATGGGCCGATCCCCCGTCGAAGGGAGTCCTATCATCTGTCTGTAAGGGTCAGAGTTTTAGAAATTAATTCTGAACGGGGGAAGGACAAAGGATTAATACTGCAATATATAACACTGGTGGACGGTTGCGACATTATTAATGAGCTACATGATGTGTTCCGCTACATGTAAATAACAGCCAATATGGCATATTCTACTATGTAACTTACAAGCCAGGCCGGTCACGGTAGCCGAGCGGTTTAAGGTATGTACTGTCTTCGCTCGCTTGCAAACCGGGATCGTGGGTTCGAATCCCACTCAGGGAATGGATGTTTAGTTTGTGTGTGTGCGTTCTTCTGTGTTTGTGTACAGGTAGAGGCCTTGCGACCAGCTGATCACCCGCTCAAGGAGTCCTACCGAATGTGTAAGATCTAGAAAAACCGAGGTGAACGGAGAAGTTCATGGAGGTAGGCCTAGGCCCACTGGGGCTGTAGTGCCAAGGAAAAAGAACTCACAAGCCAAACATCCATAATTTTTTTAATTTGCATAGTGGGAGGTGGAGTACAGTTGGGTAAACTCGGCGCGGCGGCCACTGATTGGCCTATTGTACCTGCCCCGGGTGATTATGATGGAGAATTTGGTGGAATGAAGATTGGCAGGGGAAGCCGAACTACTAGGAGAAAACCTACCCCAGCGCCACTCTGTCCACTACAAATCCCACTTCACCAGATCAGTGTTTGAACCTCGGCCTCCGCGGTAGGAAACCAGCGACTAACCGCTTGAGCTATAGCTCGGCCCAAAATTTTGGCTTTCAAGCCCCAGACATCCATAATATTTTGTACATTTGCTGTGAGCCGTTTTCTTTCTCTCTCTTTCTTTCTGCTTCAAATGGAATGAAAAAAAAGGAAGAAATGACTACATCTAACCGCTTCCTCATATGCATTCACGAAAATACTGTCGCCTGTCCGGGGTTCTGTGACAAATAGTTACTGGGTTGCGGCTTAAGCCGGGTCCAGACTTGTTGCGTATTCCCTTATCGTACCCCGTATCATCCTTCCGCTGGAAAATGATACGCAATGGGCTGTTCGCTCGCTTGGCGGTCTTTTTCCGTCGCATCAAAGGGACGACTCGGGTTGCAGTGGTGCCAGTCTGGACGTGGAGGCGGTTGCATCGCGCTTTGCTTATCAGCTCCGGACAGTTGGAGTGTAGTCATCACCAGTGTGCGTTGTTCTGTTTGTGATTCTCTGTTTATATACTCTGAATGGAGTGGAGTAGGGAGAGCATTATATATTTAATTGATGAATATAAAAAGAGGGATGTTATATGGAATCCCCGAAACACAGAACATTACAATAAAATAAAAAAGCAGGACGCCTGGGAGGAGATAGGAAAGGAACTGAAAAGATCAGTTGAGGAATGTAAAAGAAAAATGGAGTACTTGCTGGCTTCACTAAGGAGAGAGAGAATGAAGATGAAGAAACAGACGGGTACGGGAAATGGTGAGTACTTCATAAATGAAATGTTAATTAAATAGTGAATAACGCTTTCATTATTCATTCTTATAATTTCAAATTTTTATTTTCATGGTTTTTAGGAGCAGATGAAGTCTACAAAAGTTCCTGGTTCGCATTTGAAAGCCTGCGATTCATCTGGGATAAGAATAAATCAAGACCAACACTGTCGACGGTAACTGCTTGTCTATCAAAATAAAATAATGCAACTAACTAAATTAAGAAGTGCATGGTTTTCCTCGGCATTGTACACTGTACTTTCATTCACTATGCATATTCATCTTGGCACATCACTCTTCCTTCCTTAAGAAAATAGTCAGCTAATTCCGCCCTATGTCTTGCACGTTTGACTTTGTTTTACGTCCTACCTTCTTCATCGGAAGAAGGGAGATCAAATCACCAGTGGTGCTTCTCCAAGTACCATCCGTGATAACGCCATTTTCTTCCGAATCGAATGTCCCTGGTGGAGTATAGACTGCTGCAGATTCAGGTTGTCTTCGTAAGAAATTATGCAACAGAAGTCATCACAACGAGTTGGGGTTTTCTTCGTTCCAAAAGTAGAGGTTTCCGAAGTACGCGAAAGGTTGAGGAAACAATGCCAAACACATTTTCTACAAGTCGACGGACTCTGCTCAGTCTGTAGTTAAAAATCCGTTCCTTGGAGCCCTTGGGATGATAACCAGGATAAACTTTCACCAAGTTTTCAGACATTGGAAAGGCTTCATCTCCAATCAAAAAGAAAGGTAAAGCTCTCCGTCCCTTGAGCGGAGCAGGTTGAGGTAGATTCAAACTGTTTCTTGTCATCCTTTTGCAGAACTCGGTATTTGCAAACACTCCACCGTCAGAAATCCTCCCTTGGCACCCTGTGTCCACAAATATGAAGTTGTAGTTGGCATCACATATAGCGAGGAGTACTAAGCTGAAGAAGCCTTTGAAGTTGAAGTACTCGCTACCGCTGTTCATAGGACACTGCAGAGCGATGTGCTTTCCGTCAATAGCTCCCAGACAGTGTGGGAAATTCCACGTCCTTTCAAACTCATTAGCCACTCCCAGCCATTCATGTTTTGTTTTTGGTATCTGTAAATACAAAGAACAAAAATCTGTTATAGGTTCCGAGAGAATGTGAGACAGAGACAGTTGAAGGCTGCGACGACCACAACGACGAAGAACCCCTGCACACATCCACGAGAAAAAAACGGAAGGTCTGTGATGAAGACCAGCGACTTGACAAAACTTTCAAAATACTAACAGCATCAACCAACGAGAAGAACGACGAATGCCAGCACTTTGGAAATTTGGTCGCCTGCAAATTGAGGGCATACGATGAATCTATTCGCTGTGCTATCCAAAACGATATCATGAGCATTTTCCTTAGGGCAAGCAGTGGTTTTTATAAAAATTACAACACTGCGACTTACGGAACAGGCCCAAATTCTTTCCTCTACTACAAAGGGCCACCAAATGCCCACTACCCTTCTTCTTCTTCCCCTCAGTTTTTTCCCAGCAACAAACAGCAACCTTTCCTGAATACACCTTCAACAGTTTCCTTCCCTCAATCTCCTTCACCAGGTACGGCCTCAGAAGACGACTTACTTATTCAGGACATTGTATAAATGTGTTCATGTAACGATTTTACACAAGTGGCTTTAATGCAGAAATGCCTGCATCAAATTAAATTAATGAAACAAATCAATATTTCACATTTAGTTTTGCTGTAATCTGCAAGCTCTATTTTATTTCAGAAATATCAAATAAAGTAATCAAGAAACAAGAAACCATATTGTTTGCTTCATTTGGTGGTTAATGACAAGTACTCACTAACCTTAATGAAGTCCTTCAGTGCTTCCACAAGAGCGCCACAAAGTTCAGGGACAATGGTGCTGATTGTTTGCTTAGATATTTTGAAGAGGTATTGAAGACTGACGTATGAGTCTCCAGTTGCCAAAAATCGCAGTGTTACAGCCAACCTTTCCAGAACAGGAATTGCTTTTCTGAACACGGTATCTTTTTTAAAAATTTTCGGCCCGATCAAATTTATCAACAACTCAAAATCTGACGGATGCATCCTTGTGAAATTTTTGTACATCCCACTGACTGACTGAAAATTTAAGTCCGCCCACTGTATACTTTCCTACTGGCATAGATCGGTGATATCCACAAACGTCGTGATTTTGTTCTTCTTCCCTTTATAGCATAGTGAAGATAGATGTACGCGGCCGCTGCTACCGTCAGGTTGGGTGTAGTCATCCCTGACTGAAATCTGGCTCGAGACAGAGTCATTTCTTCGTTGCCAAGGAGAAATTTTATCGCGTTGCATCGGTTGATACGCAACGGAGATACGCAACAAGTCTGGACGCAAAATTTTGTCGCGTTGCATCGGACGATACGCGACGGAGATACGATACAGGGATACGCAATAAGTCTGGACCCGGCTTTAGGATACAATTTTTAACGCAAAAGCGTACCAGATGCGCGCAAATAATATCAAATTTTTTAAGTGCCTGTAACCTGTGAAGTAGGCACTTATTTCCAAACAGGGATGCGAATATAGACACTACTATCGTCCTGTCTGTCCAGAAACATCTGCACTAAAATTTCGGTAACTATTTTTTTTTGTCATTATTTAAAATTCACATCATTAGATTCTTGAACGCCGATAGCGGTGGCCGCGCCGTCTAAGGCCGCTCCAGCACTGGGATCGAGGTTTCGAATCCCACTCAAGGCAAGGATCACTGTATGCGTTTATTCTGTTTGTGTTGTTCTCCGTTAATATGAGGGAATGCTTTAAATTACTTTTGGGCCACTCTGTATATACCATATATTTTTTTACAAAATACAGTTTGGATGTAATAGGACAGTTTATATATCTGACACCCCTGCGGTCTACTGTTCGAAATAGAAAACTAAATGAATAATTTCCCAGGGGTTGCCTTGCCAAGAATTATATATATATAATTTGCCATTTATTCTACGACGGGATGTTTGGTGGAACCCGAAGGGACAGGCGAAGTTTGAGTAATATACATACACACAGCCTGCGCAGTGCCCGTGAACAGAATTCTGTACTGAAGTATAAGAAATTACTTCTGCTGTTCTTGGTGGTAAAAAGGTAAGGTAAAGCTACCCCTGTAACAGGCGTCGGAGACCCACAGGGCTGTGAGAGAGCGAGGCTCCCATTTTTCCTAGATGGCGGTAAGATTATCAGCCTTACGCGCCGGCCGCCATCTGCCCTCCAGGAAGATTCCTGGTAATCATTTCTGTTAGAGGCTGTGTCGACCCCAGGGCCATATCGCGGCTGGAAGGATTAGGTAAATTAAGAAATGTAATTACTTCTTCGGAAATCGAACCCGCGACCTTCCGGCTTACAGCGTAGTGCCTCAACCAACTGTTACCGCATGTCCCGTCTATACAGTATATGGCGGTCGCTCGGTCGGTATAGTTCGCTTGCGGACTAAAAGCCACGGGGTTTTGTTACAAATATGTGGGGGGGGGGATTTATCAATGTTTCGAAGGAGCGTGTTGTCTTCTTATTCACTGTCCTTCAACCGTGAAGATGAAGACGTCGTCTTCCACCAAATCGTCGGTAAACAACTACCTCCCCTACGTGGCGTCACACCCCATAAGATGGCGGCTTATTCGTAAACTCCCAAAACGTCACATCAAACATACACGCAACAGGGAGCAGACAGTGTCCTAGACGAATGAATCAAAATTGTCAGGAACTTTTCGAGAATAATTAATTTTCCAATCCTCTTGTTTTAAGTCTAGGGCTGATTCGCGAGAACATGTGAACCAGCATATTTTGCATCTTCGCGCATGCGCCATAGCCAGACATGCGAGAAAGTCTCGTAGTTGTATTTCATCCCGCGTTCATAAGCTTCGTACATACTTTCATAAAAGGCGTCGATCACAATTAATTCTACTGTCTTCTGCCACAGCCTTACATCATTATCATCATCATCTGCAATGGTTGAGCTTGGCCCGTTCCGTCATCAAACCCCGACAATTTCATCTTTGAGGATTACGTACAATTCTTTTTATTTTGTACTTGAACAGGTTGTCAGCCTGTTGCAAAAGCCCCTGACTTTAACCAGAGTTTCCGTTCGGTGTTCTGTTTCCTTAGAGAGGTTAATTAGAATGATCAAGTCAAGGAAGGTGAGGTGGGCAGGGTATGTAGCGTGAATGGGGAGAAGAGAACTGCGTATAGCATACTGGTGAGAAAGCCCGGAGGAAAGAGACCAATGGAAAGACCAAGACCCCGTCTTAAAAGTCACCATACATGTGACAACATGTAGCTCTGTAATTACATTACAGAACAGTACCGAGAATAATGCACCGAAACATTCCTTACTCTGATTACATGGTCGTTCAGGACTGCAGAATACTTGCAAGAACACAGGACGCCGTAGTCTGCAGGAGCAATCGAAGATAAGAGGGAACATTGCAGCGGGAACTCCACTGATAACAAGAGCGACGTTCCGGAAGATGAAGTGCCGTGTACGTATGTAAAATGATTCCAACAAGAAAAACAAAGAAAGGAGACGTCGCAAGTGTGCGAATACATTAGCAAAGTAAATTCTAATAATAGAACAGGCTGCAATATATACATATATAAAGGCAGTGATGTGTAATCTCAAGATGGCAAGGTAAGAAAATACATATTCCTTTCGCAGTCATAATTTAAGTATTGTAAGGAAAAATGGCCGCAACTCCTTCACTGCAACAAGAACGTCCTTGCATTGTTTCACTTGTGTCTTATCGTGCTCAGTTCGTGTTCTCGATAAAAGTGAAATATGTTTCAGTGATTTACCTCCATTCCGAAGACAATACAGGAATGAAACTGCATACTCACTGTTTCACAGATACATTATTGACAATACTGCATACTTAACTGCCCTTATTCTTAACACACTGCATGTCTAAGGCGGTTGCACGCTGGCTTCTCACTGCACAGTCTTTGGTTCAGTACCGGATGAGGTCGCGTAAAATTCGTGGTGGAAGAAATGACACTGGAGCAGGTTTATTTAAGTATTTCTTCCATTTTCCCTTACTAATCTCAATACCACCATTGCTCCGCAGTCATCTATCGCCATTCCCTTTCAGATGTCAGCCATTATCAAGCAGCGCATTATAACATATTCGGTCTTCGATCTTTAAGCCGGGCTCGTTTCAAGAGCAAGAAAGTTTTTATTTACAAATATGTTTCTTTTTTCCTAAGCTGATCCCAATATATATCAACCATCATGCAGACTGGATTCATTTTCATTGTATTTTTTTTTTTCAATAATCCTTAGCTAGAAAAATATTTTAAGTAAAGTTATAGATCTTGATAAAATTCATATAAAGTTAAATCTCGAATTTACACTTTTTAAGTGACAAGGAAAAGTGTAAAATCGGGGAAATTAGAATAATAAAATGAAAATAAAATTTTCCACGAATGACTCCACGAAGTCGTTCTTGATTGTAGTTGGTGTTATCAATCTCCAGACTTCTGATATGAAGAGCATTGCAGATAACACATCCGCTTTTATCTGTGTAGCATCTTGGAGCAGTTCCCCTGTCTATCATGGCTACAGTCTTACGAACCAACTGCTTTCTCTAAAGGCACTTGCATGCATGCAGATTCCCAAATCTAAAGGCTGTAGTTGGCTGGTCCAGTACGCTCCGGAAAACTACTATGGCTTCCTGAGGGGCAGCACGCTGTTCAACGAAAAGCAAGATTCTGCGATTTTTGTACCCGGTTTTCTGTTTAGCTGCGTGAGGCAATCTTCAAATACTTATTTTGGTGGCCGTCCGAAAAATTTGTATTAGCTTTATATTTTGTAGGGAGTCTCTTAACGTCCTTGAAGCAACGTGGACTTTTACACTTTCCAATAACAAGAGGATAGTCAACGCACTGCCATCCGTACTGAATGCGTGGAGTACGGCAACTAACTGTCTGGATGTTATACCAGCATGGCCACCATTCTTCATGTAGACATTCATTGTCACATTTTACGAAATCCGTCAGTTTCTGAATTACAAAATGCAATGGGACCGCCTCTGTGGTCTAGTGGTCAGAGTTCCTGGCTACAGATCCAGAGGTTCCTTGTTCGCTACCCGGCGTTACCAGATTTTCTCAGAAGTAGTGGGTCTGGAAAAGTGTCCATTCAGCCTCGTGAGGATAATTGAGGAGCTATTTCAAGGAAACAACGGATCCGGTCTAGAAAACCGAGATTAACGGTCGTGGGGATCCGTTGCACTGACCTAACGACTCCCTCTATCTGCTAAATTTGGCAGTAACTTCGCCGACAAGCGGCGGTCGCTCGGTCGGTACAGTTCGCTTGCAGACTGCAGGCCACGGAGTAACCTCATTTCATGCGTTTCGTGAAGATAATGCATAAATACGGTGGTTACAGTAACGTATAAATGATGGAGTCAGATTATTTGAAGGAAACAGACTTGAATATGAGGAAAAACTGGTCTCTGATATTAAGGGAAGAACAGAGACTGAAGGCATCTGAGGAGAGGGTGCTGAGAAGAATATGTGGATCGAAGAGGGATGAAAGCTTGTCACCGTAGCAGAGCGGTCTAAGGCATGCACTGTCTTCGCTCGCTTGGAAACCGGGATCGTTGTTTCGAATCCCACTCAGGGCATGGATGTTTCTGTGCGTTCTTCTGTGTTTGTCTACGACGAGCTGATCACCCGCCCAAGCAGTCCTACCGAATGTACAAGATATAGAAAAACCGAAGTGAACGGAGAAGTTCATGGAGGTAGGCCTAGGCCCACTGGGGCTGTAGTGCCAAGGAAAAAAAAAGAGGAATTAAATGGTAGGAGGCTGGAGAAAACTGCACAGCGATCAGTTTCATAACTTGCACTTTTCTCCAAATAAAATTATAATTAAGGAGTGAAGGGGAATGAGATGGACAGGGTATCTAGCACGCATGGGGAGGAAAGGAATGCATATATGGTTTTAGTAGGAAAGCCGGAAGGATAGAGACCATGGACCTGTAAACACGCTCCTTCGTTAGAATTCTCCTGAAATAAAGAGCTTGCTCCATTTTGCATTTCTAAACTGTGCAAATATTATCGCACCATCAACTAAACGATTACGTAAATTCGCCCCAGGAT